ACCTCACGGCTTGTTCATGACAGTCCAGATGTCACACTTTAACAGGAAGCCAGTAACCGGATGCCAGGTGCCTCTGACTTGGAGAGTGAAACTTAACCCTTTTCCATTTTGAGCATCGTTCTTCACCAAGCCTGCTCCTATGATGCTGCTTGGCCTGCTGTGTTCATCCAGCTCTGCACCTTGTGGTCTATGATCCAATTGGTCTGACCAGCTGTTTACTTCATGTAACATTGTGGACTCAAGCAATATAGACTGACCAGAAATCATGGTGCATTATGTAACATGCTCATCCTTAAATGAAACAGTGCATCCTTTAATGTTACATGCACAACATCACAGGAGATTTATTTTAAATACAATAAGGCCAACATTCTTCCCTTCCCAATCATCCCTTAAAAATTGTAATTTGCAAATGCACATATTTTTAATTAGTTGCTGTTTGGTGGTACAGAACTTGAGTATTGCCACAAAAACAAAAATGCAATTTGTTGAAGCTTTTTGTCTTGCATTCATCAAGACAATTCACATTTTTTCTTGTAAATTGTCCTGATTAGTGCAAGACATAAACTTTGACAAAATATTCTTTTCTTCAGTACTTTTTTAACCACATTGTAGCAGATAGAACCATTAGGAATACGCAATGTATGTTTGTCTGTCTTGATTAGCAATTATGAAATTAGGTGAGTCTGTGTGATTAATTAGAGCTGTTGATATAAACTACAAACAATGTTATTATGTGAACATTACACTTCTCTGAATGGAAAATATCTAATCCTCTAGAGTCTCCTCCACCTCCTTCCTCTGCTCAAATACTGTTGCTGTGGCTCTGCTACCAGAGCGTAAACTCTACTCACTTAGAACTCATTTGTGTGCCCAAAGGATTCAGGGTGTGCAAACTTTATATCAATATGCCATGTAACATGTAGTTATACTCAATGCACAATATAACTGGTTACCTTTCTCAAATCAATCTCTTAATTATGGGTTTAATTTCTGTTTTCTTTCTTGGTCAGCAATACCAGCAAGACCAGGTAAACATCCAGGTTCACCTTCCTGCTTTCACTGAACTACCAAACTCTACTAGGATACACTACGGAGAGAGAAAAGGAAAATCAACTACGAATCTCTCTTAATCACTACAGAAACACAGGAAGCAAAGTAGGCTATTCAGGCTCTCAAGTATATTGTACTGGTTGATGATATCACAGCTGATCTACACTGCAACTCTATTCACACGTCTTTGTTTCATCATTTAAAAGAAACTACCAATCCCAGTATTAAAAATTTCAATTCACCAGTATCCACAGCCTTTTGGAAGATTGAGTTTCACTACGTCATGTATGAAAAATGGCTCCCAATTTCACTTGTTTGGCCTAACTTGAATTTTAAGATGATACCTTCTTGCTCTGGATGACCCACCAGAGAGATAGTTAACATTTTAAACACCTTGATTAGATCACCCCTTACTTTTCTAAATGGAAAGGAATGCAAGTCAAGTTTATAAAACTTGCTTCATAATTTAGCCACTGATGTTCTTGTACAATTCTGGTGACTCTGCACTGTACTCCTTCTAAAGTCAAATTTATTTTTCTTGAAGTTCTGTACCCAAAACTGAACTCAGTACTCCAGGTGGAATACGGCCAAAATATTACTAAAATCCATTTTTCTACTTTTGAACCTGAGGAAGGGTCACTCAACCTGAAACATTAACTCTGATTTCTCTCCACAGATGCTGCTGGGATTTTCCAGCACTTTCTGTTTTTGTTTCTGATTTCCAGCATCTGCAATGCTTTTGGTTTTCATAATCTAACTCCTCTATTCTGCCGCACTGCAAACTGAGTGTGTTCAGTTATGTGCAGAGGTTGAGGAAGTTGACCTGCTCTCCACTTAGCCGGGCAGGTACGGGGAGAGTTAGAAATATTCAAAATTAAAAATTCCTCTGGAAACTGGACAAGTAACCCAAAATTACAGATTGAAAATAATTGACGAAAGCACTAAAGATAAATGAGGAGAAATCTCTGAAGTGAAGTTACTAAGATCTGCCACACATTACCGTAAATTGTGGTGGAATCAGACTCCTTAGTAACTAATCAAAATGCATTGTGACATGCACTTGTCATGGACTAGATGGCAGCATTGTAGGGAAAAGGTTTGGAAGAAGGACAAACTGAACGGGTCCTTCAGAGTCAGAAAAGGCACACCAGACCATATGGCCTTCTGCTGTAAGATTTTCTGATTCTATGAGCTGAAGCATTCCTTTTGCTGCTACCATTCCAAACAGCTGTCTCAACACATGACAGATTTTCTTAGTATCAATGCTGCATTTACCATTTACCAAGTCTATTGAGAACAGCTTTGAAAAAAAAATTACTGTTCACTAAGATTACAGAGGTTGTTACAATATCATTCAGTCAAGTTACTACCGCTGAGAGATCCTAACACCAGTCCACCTGCAGAAAATCAGGGAAAGTCAAATGGATTTAAGTCAACTACTAAACAATCGCCAGCTGGTATGTGTACTTTACCTACTGAACCTGTTGCCTGTATTATATCCTGTTTTCCCTCAAATGGGTTGTTTCATGGTCTACTACAGTTCCATAGATGATTCGCCACCAGAATCTCAGCCAAGTCTCCAGTCTTCGCATATGATCCTATTTAGAATGGCATCTCAGCCTCAGGAGGGTATTAAAGCAAACACAATCCTGTTCTCACCCTCCATTCATTATATAGATATTTTCAAATCAACCTGATCAGATGTGTTATTACAGCAGGTGGGGACTCAGAGGTAGCAACACTACTACTGTACCACAAGAGTTCCTCCATTCATATTATATGCATACACACTTCCCAATAGATGTCTCTGAACAGTAATCAGGTGTACTGGGAATCCTTTGTTATTTTATGTTCTTCCTTAGTCTAATGCACTGAGATCAACTGTGGAGATGAAGTATTTCAGTACAGACTAAGGTTAGAACTGGGATCTCCGAGTTCTTTAAAATATTGTATCATATTAAACTACTGGGCTAGTTTTTAGTTGATACGTCAACTCCCACACCCTTAAGCGCTTTGCATCATAGGATTATTCAGCCAAACATTGTTAGTCACTAGCTGTGATACCGTACCAAAAATTTGAGTTCAAACTCAACATCAAAGAATTCTAAATACTGACAAATGTCCAGTTCCAGACTAAACAGTCCATCTTTATTTTATTCATTTACAGGATGTGAGCATTGCTAATAATGGTATATTTTGCAAATGCTGCACATGGTGGTAGAGAAAGTGGACATTTAAGATAGCAGCTTGGGATCGTATCGATTCAGCTTCTGGTGTTGAGCCTCAGGAGTGCTGTTAAATCTTCACCCATCCAAGCAAGTGAATCATCCATACTCCTCACTTGTGCCTTGTAGATGATGTAAAGACTTTGGGAGTCAGGAGGTGAATTACTCACTGCAGAATTCTGAATTTTGATTTTCTCTTGTAGCCACATTGCTTATATGTCCAGTCCAGTTCATTCTCTGGACAACAGTAGCCCTTATGATGTCGACAGTGGAGTATCCAGCAACAGCAGTACCATTGAATCTCAAGGCGAGGTGATTAGACTTCCCTTGTTGGAGATGATTATTGCCTGGCATTTGGCTGAAACTGAATGTTATCAAGGTCTTGCTGCATGCATGCGCAGACTACTTGAGTTGACTTTGGCGATAACGTATTGTCCTGCACAACCAAACAGCCTGGTGACACACACAGTCCTTCACTCATGTGAAGAATGGCCACCTGATAAGCACCATTGTAATCCACAAAAGGTCAGTTCTTTCAAGAGAGACAAGAATGGCAGAAATTGTGGGGAGTGGGGAACGGTGTCTTGGTTATGTGCAACTGGTTCTTAATCAATATTGATTATTAATACAGTATCCCTTAAAGGCTTTAATTATGTAAGTATATTGTAGCATTAAAATACATATTTGAATTGAAGACCAATTTATTTGTACAGTACTCATCAACATCAATACATTTACTGTGGCCAAATTAGTCAGGTTTTGTTTTTAATGAGGTTCTAGGATCTTCAGGAGTGTTTTGGAGATTGGATTCGATAGTAGTATGTTTTAATGATGTTGCTGACTTATGATGACTGAGTAAGTCATTTATTAAACTGCATGACTGGATTCACCGTGATGTATCGGTAATTTGAAAATTGTAATTCATCAATTCAAGCACTCTTTCTAAAACTTCTGCTCAGTGACCCATCCAATTGCGCTTAATCTTCGTTGTTTCTCTTTAAAAAATACTCGACTATCTATGGCTGACTCTGAATTATACTTCTCAGTATTTCTTTTTTAATTTAGTAATTCAGATCTCGACCTCGCCTAGAGTTTAATTATGGGCAGTTCCCGGTCTCAGAGGGTAGTGTTTCCTTCAAGCGATGGCCCATATTCATCTGACCGCGAGTAACTCCCAATCTCTGAACTCGAGTAACCTTGGTCTTCTGCCAACAAACCGGGGATTTCTTCCGCACCTTAAAGATCAAGATTTTGCAACAAAAAAAAGCTCGCGCAAGGCAGTCTGCGCCGGAGAAGGCTCTCAATGGTGAAAAGAGATATTGATGAATACTCCAAAGCTCACAGCGGTAGATAACAGATCACAAAGAACAGTAACAGCGCACGGAAAAAGCATCCCTACATAAGTGCATTCCGACTTCACATGCAGCCAGCGTCTCCCTGAGCTAATGCAAGCGGGCAATCGAGCTGCCGGATTGAATTAACAAAGGTGTAGAGCTGGATGAACACAGCAGGCCAAGCAGCATCATAGGAGCAGGAAGGCTAACGTTTCGGGACTAGACCCTTCATCAGAAAGACCCGAAACATCAGCCTTCCTGCTCCTACGATGCTGCTTGGCCTGCTGTGTTCATCCAGCTCTACACCTTGTTATCTCAGATTTTCCAGCATCTGCAGTTCCTACTATCTCTGCCGGATTGAATTGTTGTTTAAAGGTGATTTCCTTACCGTGGCGTCCTCTCCGGCAAAGTGACTGATAACCCGTATCCCTCCGGGGTGCTTTAGGGCCCAGTTAGTCACGTTATACACTTTCCTATCAATCACAAGCCACTTGTCCGTCCTGCTATTGTGCTTCTGAATCTCTTCCCAAGTGTAATGCGTTAACATTTTCTCATAGCCCCCTTCTTCCTCCCCCTTCTCTCCTCCTTTCCCCATCTCTCCTTCCTTCACGTTCTCCTCTCCCTCTACCTGCCCTCTTTGCTTTTAGCAGTTCATCTTATATTTCCAGCCCGCCCAGCCAGATCCTACAAAAATTAACCATTAATACGATGCTGTATCCTAGGAGATCAGCAGAGTTTTTGCACCAATCAAATGGCTGTGCCACTGCCCTCGACGCCAAGCATTGGTTCAATTCGGATCTTTCGAACGGTATGGGGGCTGATCCTTTCATAAAAAGCGTCCATGATAACCTCACTCCGATGAGGTTGGAGCGAAATTGCCTCGTTGGAGCTTGTTTCCCGAAATGGACACATTGCCAACTTCTGTGAGCCGGTCTCTCTGTGCTCTGTTTGACTCGCGGCACTGAATTCAGAATCTCACTGATGACTCCTCCAGCTAGCTGCTACTGCCCACCATCGATCTTTACTCCCCAGCCAGCACCCTGGCGTTATGAACCCGCCGGCACCATTTATTCTAATCCATCGCCCTCACACCAACACCAGGGCTCAGAAATTCTGAGGAAGGGTCACCGGACTCGAAACGTTAACTCTGTTTTTTCCTTCGCAGATGCTGCCGGAGCTGCTGAGCCTCCAGCGATTTCTGTTTTGTTCTCAGAAACTCCTCCCCGCCTGCACCATCCTCTCTACTCGATTGTAAATCAGGCTCCCCCTGGGGGTCCGGGCCATCTCTTGATCAGCTGAAGCAGGACAAGATACTGAAAAATCTGAGAAGATTGCTCACACAAGTTATTTTGAACTTGCCAATGTTTTGATGAGGTATTGGCTTCGTTTAGTATCGGTGGCTCAGTGGTTACCATCACTACCTCACAGCACTAGAGACCTCGGTTCGATTCCACCCTCAGGCGACAGTCTGTGTGGAGTTTGTATATTCTTCCCGTGTTTACGTGGGTTTCCTCCCACAGTCCAAATATGTGCAAGTTAGGTGGATTGGCCATACTAAATTGCCTGTAGTGCCCAGAGATGTGCAGGCTAGGTAGATTAGCGATTGGAAATGCAGGGTAACAGGGACAGGGTGTGGGGGGGTGGGATGCTCTTCCGAGGGTGGGTGTGGGTTTGATGGGCCAAATAGCCTTCTTTCACACAGTAGAGATTCTGTGATTTGATAGATTAGCAGAGTGAAACTTACCAGTATGGCTAATGGCTTGTAACACAGCACCTTATCTCCCTACATTCACATCTGATGCATTACTTTAAAACACAATGCTTTATGAAGATTCACAAGTAACATTCTACAAAGGAAAAGAAAGTTTCTTTTTGGTGCTGGGCATGAGGCATTGACGTTTGTTTCCTGCTCTGCTTTAAAGTGTACCGCTGATACAACATTGTTTAATGTCTCATCCACAAGACTTCACTCTTAAAAGATGCAGCAGTATCTCTGTACAGCATTGGCTGTGCAGCCTAGAAGGTCATCATTCAACTAATGAGCAGACATTAATTCAGTAAAACAGTTCCATTCATTGATTACTAATATCCGGAGGCTCTGTCTATAAGGAGTGGAAGGGAAAATGTCAGTAGTACAAAATGCTAAGACTATCAAATTATAAACTATTGCTCAACTGGAGGAGGCAACAGCATAGTGGTAGTATCGCTGGACTATTAATCCAGAGACCCAGAAAACGTTCTGGGGACCCAGGTTTGAATCCCACCACAGCAGATGGTGGAATTTGAATTCAATAAAATATCTGGAATTAAGAATGTAATGATGACCATTAATTCATTGTTGGAAAAACCCATCCGGTTCACTAATGCCCTTTAGGGAAGGAAATTGCCATCCTTACCTGGTCCACAGCAATGTGGTTGACTCTTAACTGCCCTCTGGGCAATTAGGGATAGGCAATAAATGCTGCCTAACCAGCAATGCCCTCATCCCCTGAATGATTAAAAAAAAGACAAAGTAACAAAATGTGAATTAAATGGAATATTGAAGAATAGCACCTCATCAGGCATAATAGAGCTATCCAGATCCAACAATATTTAACTATTGCAGCTCAGAACTTCCTCTCCCAGCAGTTGTTGGTAATAATTCCGTTATTAGCATTTACACCTCTTCTAAAATATCTATCTCTGTTTCTTTACAAACCAAAATACTGCAAATATTGGAAATATGCAATGAAGACACAGCGGGCACAATTTTACAGGACAGTGGCTTTGCAGGTGGGGCAGAGGATGTCTAATGGCTACATAATGGCCATTCCCTAATTAATTTTGGCAACTGCAGGAAGGATTCGGGGACAGGGTGAAGCTTTGTAAGTTATCCTGCTAGATCCATGGGGGAGAAGGATGACTCCATTACTGGCCCCTTTTTGAGATTGGATGCCTCCCACAAGGTCACTGCCTCTTCATTCTCACCCAAACCTCTCATTCCTTCCTTGATCTTCCTGCACAGAGTACTTCACTAATACCTAATTGTTGTAAGACCTCCTCAACCTTACCTTCTGATCCCTTTGTAACAAGAGCTTATAATATTATTTGGCTTCCTAATGGTCCTATTTACCTGCATATTGACCTTAATTTATGTACACCTAGATCCTTCTGAATACAAATATTTTCCATTCTCTTACTAAACAGAAGTTATTTGTTTAAAAGAAATTCTTACCAAAGTGGACAAGGTCACACTTTGCCACTTTGCATTTCACAGGATATGTTCTTTCCCACACAAAACATCCTGTCTACATTTCTCTGCTGTCTCAATGTGTCTCCCACATCAAGTAATTTTCTAATTAACTTTGTATCAGTAAAACCAGGATACAAAATACTCAGTAATCTCTTTTAAGTTATTAATATAGATTGTAAATATGTGAAGACAAGTACTGGTACTCTGGTGCCTGTTGATTACAGCGTGCAAAATTGAAAATGTCTCTTTTATTCCTACTCTCTGTTTTCTGTCCATTAAGCAATCCTCAACCTATTCTAATATATTAGTCCTAGATCTACGATTCCTAATTTCGCATAATAATCTTATGTGGCACCTTATTAAATACTTTTAGAAAATCCAAATGTACAATTCCACTAATTGCCCCTATCCATCTTACGAGATACACTCCTGAAAAAAAATTCTAACAGATCTGTGAAACGCTCTTTCCCTAAATATGCATTCACTCTACTTAATCATATTGTGATTTTCTAAGTGTTCCATTATCACATCTCAAACATGGATTCTAGCATTTTGTCCACTACTTGTGTTCAGGTAACTGGTCCTCATTTGCTTTCTTCCTTTCTGAAAATCCAGGATTATAGTTACTACATTCCAATCCTTGGAAACTGTTCTAGAAGCACAGAAGTTGACCATTCGGTCTCTCGAACCTGCGTCACCATTAATAAGATCATGACTGGCCTAATTGAAGCCTCATTTCGCTCATTTGAGCTACCCACCCTTATCTGTTCTTCTGCCCTAATGCTTTACGCATATCAGTCTTATTTCTCTTTCCCGCTTTAATCACTTTATCATTGTTTAGTTTTCCCTTTACCTTTGGTGTCTAAAGTATGGTTTTCCAATGTTATTCTTTTCAATTTCATTTGTTTTCAAAGTATTATTTAAGAAAGAGATTGATTATTTGTTAGCTTTTAAAAACATCAAGAGTATGGAGAGAAAGTAGGCATGTGGCACTGAAATACAATATCACCTGTTTTTCTTATCACCTATTTTCATATTGACTTGCTGAGGAGCTTAATGGTCCAAATGTGCTACTCACTCCTGCTTCTAGTTTCTATGTTTCTATACAGGGGTTCCATAATTTAAAAATGTCCGAACACTCGTACTTACAAATGTGATCTCATACATGGTTTTAAAATTTAAAGACCTGGCATAAAAACATTTCCTGTACTTGTGAATAACTGCTTTCAATCATCCTGAATTATGTTTTGACTCACAAACAGAATCTAGAATGGAACCAGTTGCAACCCCGGGATGGCCTGTACAGTGCTCTCTTTTACATCTGAGCAATCTCCCATTTACTACTTCAAAATTTTTATGACTGATTTATTTATCTTGTTCATTCAAACATGGTACTAGCTGGCTAGGTGGATGTCATCCCAATGCTAAAACTTCTTCTTGCCCCAGTAACAGTGCCAGGGACCCATCTTTCCCATACCACTCCTTCACCCACCTCTGTAATTACTTGCACATAAACAGAAGTTGCTGGAAAAGCTCAGCAGGTCTGGCAGCATCTGTGGAGAAAAAAATCAGAGTTAACGTTTCGGGTCCGGTGATCCTCCCTCAGAACTGTAATCACTTGCCCTTGTATGAATTTATATGTGACTAGGATAATATTATAACCCGCCCTAGCAGCGGCATAAGTTGGACATTTGGACCTTCAAGTCTGCACTGCCATTCAATATGAAAATAGCTGCTCCTATATTTCAAGGCCATCTTCCTGCTTTTTCTCCATATTCTTGATGCTTTTAAAAGCTAACAAATTATCAATCTGTTCTTCATTTTGGAGCCCCTGTTCTGGTATTTTCCGAACAGGATCCCTTGCCAATCCTCCATGTATTACTGACCCCAACATTGGTCAAAACTACTGGATCCAATCTCTTTTTCTCAAATATCCTTTCCTTCCCGTTCAGGATATCATTTGCCATGTGGAGAGTGACATTCTTCTATTTGCTGAACATAGTTTTTCCCCAATTATTGAAAACTTGTCTACTTGCACATGTTTTGAATCCTTCTTCCCGCTTCAGACGGCTGCCTGCTCTATGGTGCCAAGGACTGCATGCTGGCTGTCCTTCTGACAGTTTTTATCTTCATCCTCCTACTTGTATGAAACCTGTTACATCTCTAAACTTTTCCAGTTCTGATAAAAGGTCATTTGTCTGAAACATTAACAATGTTTCTTTCTCCAGGGATCCTGCCAGACCTGTTGAGTATTTCCAATGTTTTCTGTCTTACAGCACATGCAGTGCTTTACTTTTTTTTTGTAACAGTGACAGAGAAATTGTGGCATAGATTGATCAATATGTCAGGCAGGTGCAGTGGAAAGAAGGGAAGATGCAGAGAAAAGGCAGATTGGTGTTCATGAAGATGAGGCAGTGAATGGGTGTGAGGGAGTGGGTGTAAGGGGATGGAGCAAAGGGAGGAAGTGCTTAGGAGGGATTGAGGGTAGGTAAGGATGATAATGGAACTGTTTGCAAAGGGATGATAAGGCAACAGTAGGGATTTCTTCAACCCAGATGTAGTGATTTAATGAAGTTTGTTACAGAGATACTGCTGAGGATTTGTTACATTGTTGCAAAGTCCATTCTCAACATTTGATCAAGAATAGTGCCATAATCTTTCAGTATCAGAATTTTCAAATAACCGACCAAAGTTGAGACTCTGTTTGAACAGATAGTTCATTCTCTGATTCAATCAAAGTGATAAGGATAGTCAGCGATACAAGAAAGTCTGTTACTTGGACTTGACACAGCAGGGAAACATGGTGTTAGTCAATCAAGACAAAGACAGCTTGGGAATTTGGCAAAGCTATTAAGGACAAGATATACTTGTGCAAGAACAGTGCTGCGGATTCTACAGATTATCAGAGATGGAAACACAGTCTGGATGATAGGGAGTTCATGTTTTTTGGTAGAGAATTGCAAGAGTCAATTTATTAAAAAAGCATTATGTCCTCAGTCAAGGATGATTGGCTTGTGCGAGTCTCTAAAAGGGGAGGTGCAGTCAGCCAAATCTGTCAGAATGGCAGTAATAAGAAAGAGTAGATCTGGAGCGGAGTCAGCACATAAACAACTACAGTGGTTCAATCCTCCACAGAAGAAGAAAATCTTGGTTGGCGTGGTTCCCGTGGCTGAGATAATCACTTTGTTCT